TACAGTATGAGCTTTTGACTGTTCTGTTGCCACTGACAATAAAGCAAGCTGCTACCTCTCCCAAGGTTGCAGTGTGAGGCACTTTGACAAGAAGCCATTCACTTATTTTGCTTTACTTCATACTGATGTTTCTCCACCTAATGTCATTTATTTGATGGCTAAGAGCGGAGGCAGCATGCTATGAATCACCAATGAGATCTGTGCTGGGGACAAAGATTCAGCTGGTTCCAGAAGCATCAGTAGCAAGTCATTTTTTGCAACTTCAAACATAGTCTGAGGGCAGGCAGGGAGGCTAGACAGTGTCAAAGAATTCAGATTTTTAAAAATAGCCCCTGACGTCAGAGATGAATGTGTCAGCGCTATGTATTCTTAATATTAAGGAGGGAGAAAAATGTAGAAAATCTTTGTTTCTTTAGAGCGCTTGTAGATGCTATGCTCCTGGAGCATGGAACAACATACTATGCAGTGTGCAGAATATCCCTAAGGGAGCCCGTATGCACGCAGAGCAGATCCAGCTTTCATATTTAAGCACCAGGCTCTTACAGAAGCCATGTGTTCAAGGGAAGAATGCCGCTCTGTTCAGCTGTGTATTTACTCTGTGCGTTTGGTTCTCTTGGTAACAAAATGCATTTTCTTCCAGTCACACTTGTTCGTGTTGCAGTTAGTACACCGGCCATCAGTTCGCTCTGTACTTCAAGGTCTACTAAAGAAACGCCTCCTCCCAGCAGAACATTGTATCACTAAGAGTGAGTTTCCATTTTGTGTGGATGATGGCTTTCCAGGATGCCTGTGTTCAGTTGTGATAAGCTATTTCTGCGCAAGATTTACTTGCCTATTGAAAACCTTAATATTTACTTCTCGGGAATTTCCAGAACATCATGTGAATAGATTAAATCCTCAGTATCCTCAGATGTTGAGGCCTATTTGAGAGGGCATAACAAAGTACCAGGGACACAAGCTTACTTCCTAATGAGGACTTTCCCATTCCAGGAAAATCTCTCCAGCTTTCCCTCATACTTGTTTTTGACTTTACCTAAAAGGCCCAGGTAGAAGGATTATTCTTTCTTTAAGGCTGCTTTGAGCGCTTGTACAGCACATAATTTGGTTGGGGGTATAGCTGATTTGCATGTGTGTGGTGGTTTGTCTCTTCAGGAGAAAATTACACAGAATACATTTGTGTGGATAAATTGTCCACTACATTGGCCCTTAACAGTTGAAGTGTTGGTCTTTCAGATTTCTATGTTAGAATTTACAGTACACTTGTGTTTTACACATACGCATACTTTCTTCCTAAACAGTAAAGAGGAACTTCAGTAGTGTAGCAGCTTCCTCTGGCAATGCGACACTAAATGGGGAAGATGGAGTAGAGCAAACTGCTATTAAAGTGTCTCTGAAGTGTCCGATCACATTCCGGCGGATTCAGCTCCCAGCAAGGGGTCACGACTGCAAGCATGTACAAGTGAGTAGATGCCAGTGGCCTGTCAGTATTCCCTCAGACATGTGTTGTTATAGTACATTTAGCTTAGTTATCCTAAGAGAGCACCTAATAAAATGTGATTTCTTTGTGTTTATCGAGCTAAATAATTAACTGTGCATATATTTAATGTAGAGGGAGAAAGTAAGCTTTTTGGTTTAGTTTTCAGTCCTCCTAGGGTTTTTTTTCGTGACAGTTTTACTTTTGACCCAACTGTTTCAGTTAATACGGTATTTTCCTTTGATTTCTCTTTTTTTCTTTTTTTCTTCTTTCTTTCTGGTACCTAGTGCTTTGATCTGGAATCTTACTTGCAACTGAACTGTGAAAGAGGAACTTGGAGGTGTCCAGTATGCAAGTAAGTGCAACCATATTACATGAAATGCAGTTGGTAGACCATTTGACCAAATTCAGATCATACTTTAGGTCATGGCAGGAGAAAAAGGAAGTGCTAGAAGTAAGGTGTATATAGTACATTTATCTAATAGTATAAAGTTCAGGGAGAATTCTTGCAATGCTTCATAAACTGTGGGAACGCTCTGGATTATTAGAAACTTAAAGCATCTCTACAAGTCTCTAGTTCAATCCCATCTGTGCCAGCTGGTGTTAGGTGGGCATTTCAGGCTGAAGACAAGCTTGTTTCACTGACTATCCATGATTGATATGTACCCTAAAATGCAGGTATTTTCTCTGCACTACCTGAGTCTTTCTATGTTTGGCTAAAAATACCACAAGAATTGAATAATTTACTTCTTAATTTATGTATTCATACATCCAGGCCAAAATTTTTGTCCTATTTCTCTGAGTATGAGCACCTGCATTCAGATCTAAGTGCCTATGTAACTAAATCATTTCTTGTTTTGTTTTGTTCTGTCCCCATCTGTGCTGATCTTAAGTAAAATAGCTATAATACATGGTTATTTTGAAGCCGTATTACTGTGTAGCTCAAAAAAAAAAATCAATTTAAAAAGAGAATAGTGCTAGCTGATGTTCACAGGAGAGATCTGCTGTGTTTGAAAAGCCTTTTAATTAACAATGTATTTCAGTAAAAAAATTATTCAAAGCATGTGAGCAGCTTGTGTGGACACATGCAAGTAGATGTATTCTTATCTCATCTGTTTGATATAGAATACTATTATGGTGGTAATGCAGATGTAGAACTAAAACTGTTTGCCCCACATAATTCCTAAAATATATGTTACAGATGTTGGTGGATCTCAGTGGGCTGATTTCATCACTAATCTATCCTTTTCCCATTCCTCTTTCATGCATGTGTAGCAATATTGTAACATGAGGTTTGGGTTTTTTTTATCTTTCTAGTAAAACCGCTCTACTGGAGGGCTTGGAGGTTGACCAGTATATGTGGGGTATTCTGAATGCTATACAAAAGTAAGTGAACTTAATCATTTCAGATATCCAAAACAAAGCAACTGGGAGATATGTTAATGAGTACTGAGATAGTCACACCAAAGTAGGTCTTAGATTGAACTTGAATATTCTATTTCATGGGTCCTCGGTGGAGCTGGTGATACAGTGAATCAGTTTCCATCTACTTAATAGATTTGGTTTGGGTTATCTCCTGATAATAGATCAGGATATGATGATAGATGTGATGATATCGCATAGATATGTTTGGGTTTTGTTGTGTGGATAAACACAGAAATGTGCTCCCACCGTTGCCTTTTTTAAAACTTGCTTTTGGAGCACACTTGAGGAGTGAAAGATCATGAGGTTGTATTATACTAGAGCATTTCAGAGCATTTGTTACCATGCAGATTCTTATGGAAATTCTGTCAGAATTGATTAAAAAAAAATAATAATGTGCTAAAATGTTCACATTATTTTACAGCTCAGAGTTTGAAGAAGTTACCATTGATCCAACTTGCAGTTGGAGGCCGGTCCCTATAAAGTCAGATATTCACATCAAAGATGACCCAGATGGCATTCCCTCAAAAAGATTTAAAACCATGAGCCCAAGCCAGATGATCATGCCAAATGTAATGGAGATGATTGCAGCTTTGGGTCCTGGGCCATCACCTTATCCATCCCTACCTCCTCCTCCAGGAGGCAACAACTCCACTGAGTATGGTAACCAAGGTTAGTTTTATACCTTTGTGCACACAGGTGGTCACCTTAGAAGTCAGTGGTTCAGTCAGCTTTGTGATTCAGGTATATCAGTGCATCTTCTCAGAGACGTGCATAAGGAAAGGAAATTATATAGCTGCAGTTCTGAAATTCTGCATCAGTCTCTTCATTTAAGATTCATGTGTTTAGAAGGAAATATATTTTAGTAAGGAAATAGGTGCTTGTCATACTTATTGCCATGCAGCCCTCCCTGAATTAACAAACATTGTATGTTACTTTAGATATTCATGGGCTGCCACAATATACATATTCCCTAGGTTTTTTCTGTCCATTTTCCTGCTGTTGCACTCTCATTCAAGTGAAGGCTCCTAGTGCTACAGAAGTTACAAAGTAGAGAACCTGACCCATTAATTAACTCTGCTGCCTGGGACACTGAGTTTAACTTGTGGCCAGGTGGGTGACATTTGGTAGGCTAACTAGAAAGGGAATGATTTCTAAAGAGCTTTTAACTGTTTTGCAAACACCTTTGCATTAGAAAATTACTTTTGAGTTCTTCTACCCATGTGCTGCCAGATTGAGAAACAGGGAATTAAATGCAGGCAGCAGAGATACATTTTCAAATGACTGGTATATTGTGAAAAACTCAATTATAGTGACAATTCTGAAAATATGAAACCAGAGACTGTTGGGGTTTTTTTGGTGCAAGTAATACGATATGACTCGGTTCAACTCTGGGAAAAGACCAAACTCTTCACACCATCAGAATCCCCAAATTGATTACAAGGTGATACATGTGGGTTTTGCAGGCATTTGAAGAAAAATATAGATTGCATGCAAAATATGGTTAATTTTCTCCAATGACTGCAAAACTGATGACAGACGGTAAAACTTTTCAGGTGTTCAAGCAGATGAATGATTACTATAACAAAGCCAAGAGCACCAAATCACAAATATTTCACTCATTTATTACGAGTGAAGTGCAGTCAGAGTATGAAAACAGCCATCTATTCTTCATAATCTTTCTACTTTATAATCAGGGACAGGATGGTTATGTAGAATGATGTTTAGGGTTTGTGTAACAATTGCTGCCTAGACTGGTATTTTCCTGCCTTCGCCGTGGATCCTGTAGCAGAGGTAGTCATTGCTTCTCAGAGGCCTGACTCATCGGTGGCAGGTGAAACCCACACTTTTCTATTTCCCCTGCAATAGGCATATCAATGCAGAGCACCAGGTTATCCTAAATGTCCTTATAGGTCTGTCCCTCAGCATGTGGCACAACTCTGGCTGCAGAGAAGGGCATACTGCTGCATGGCTGTAACTCCCTGGGCACACTGCCTTGCATCTACGTTCTCCGTCAATGTGCCCACTGAAATGTAGTGTTTAGAATTAGGTAATGTCCTTGGATCAGCAGTACTCTAGAGCGAAGCAGTAGTAGTATTACAACTGTAGTATACGTTTGTTTGTTTGTGTTTGACAGTACGCATACTGAAGTTTAATTTCCAAATATAACAAGTACTCAGTAATACAAGGCCTTATTCCAGCTCCCTGCTATTAGTCATTCCTGAGAAGCAAGGCAAGACCAGCTATATTCTGCAAGACTCATCCAGTTTGCAGATTAACAAAATGAGAACTAGTAAAGCTCTGCAGTATTTACATGATAGATCAAAGTCCTGACTTGTTTGAGAAATATTCTTACACGGCTGATGACTTCTATTCCTCTGAGATTAAACTTCAGCTTGTGAAGCTGTGCTAAAGAGCAAATGATGCAGCTTCTTCAGTTTGTCAAACTCCTGTCTTGACTTAAAGCTGCTTGTACTTCAGCTGACAAACTGCAAGCTCTCCATGCACGCTCCAGAGTTATTCTGTTATTTTGGAGCTCAGTACCATCCAATTCAGTTGCTTACATGAAGCAGCTGATTGGGTTTAGTTCAGTTTTTGCTCTTCATAGCAAATAAGCCACCAGAATTGGTATCTCAGTTGGAAGTGTTAGCACAGGGATCTGGACAGAAAAAATAGAGTAAAATTTCTGTACTGGGATAGGTGCTGTCTTTAGCATTCAAGTGAAGATCACTGGGCTGAGGTGGGATAGATCAAAACATACCATTGATGGTTATACAATATTTGTCCTGAGAATCCACAAGGAACTCCAGCCTTGTTGCTATATGGTAGATGTCTGGGGGTAAATCCAGATCATTTATTATCAATTTGTGTGACATTTTGGTGCTTTGAAGAACATTGTTTCAGGCTGAAGATAGGTGGATTTCATAGTCAGTTTTTCATTATGAGTGTGCATATCCACATGCTGAAACACAGGCTACAGGCATCCAGTTTGCAACTGAAAACAAGACTAAGAGATCCAAGAGTGGAAAATGGATGTTATATTTGCAGACAGTTAAGTGAATTTTACTAGGTTTTGTGGGAAGCAAGGAGAATTACATCACAAACTCCAGCTGGACATGAAGGCCTCTTCTGCCCTGTCTTAGTGGAGGTTGCCTGTTTATACCACAGGTGAGGTAAAACAGACGAACTGATACTGTAGCATCTTCCTGATACAGTTCTGTCAATTAGCTTCATCAAAAAAGGAAGCAATGGTACAATCTTACTGAGTGTGTAGAAGCGTAGACTAACACAGGTGTCCTCTACCTGATTTTGGACTTGGGCAGTTTCAGTTACGCCAGGATGCTTCCAGATGCAAATATTCCATGGCATTTAATACCCCTTTTCACTTCTTATCATGGTTAAATTTATGTGGTGACTTGACTATAGTTTTTCAAAATGTCAGCAGTTTTCAATTAGTTACAATATGTATATGAAAGCTGAGTGCCGTTTTTCCCTTCCCATTCCTCCAGCTCACTCCAGCAGTGGGGAGCACAGTGTTGTCATATTCAGTGTTGCAGTTGCCTTGTTCTGAGCTGTGCGGGCAGGATGCTGCGCTGTACAGCTCTTACAAAATACTATGGGAGATCAATGTTGGGTAACAAATAGTTTCTTACATATCACATCTGTTTCTCTTTTAGGCAACAGTTACCAAGGTCATGGCAATTTTGACTTCCCACATGGGAATCCTGGTGGCACGTCTATGAATGACTTCATGCATGGGCCACAGCTGTCACATCCTCCCGACATGCCAAGCAGCATGGCAGCTCTTGACAAACCCCTCAGTCACCCCATGCAGGAATCTGTAAGTAATGGTGCTGTGCACGTAGGTTTTCATTTGTGGGGGTAAGGTGCTCTCATCCAGCTAATGGACTTGCCTCCTGTATTGCTTTTACTTTCCGTGGATTCCTCACTTTGGAAGTTCATGAAATAACGTAGTCCTGTGGAATGCAAAAAAAAAAGCTAGTTTTAGTTTCTGGCCTTTTTGAGGTTTTGGAGAAGCATTTCTGAGCTTTTTGAATTGTCATTTAGGCTTGTTTATCTGAAAGAGAGAACTTGGCTCCGTGTGCTCGTGTTAATCATTGTGCTTTGCTCTGACACCTGAAAAAAACTAGACTTCATTTCCTAGGCCAGCAGGATCTATGACTATCCATCTTCAGGGGACACCTTGTTATAGTAAGGCATTGACTGACTTCAAAGCAGGGACAATGGCTTTGTCCCTGAGGGCAAAATTTGCATCAAAGCATTTTGAGGGGAGTTCTACCCAAGTAGCATGAAAGGCACCTTTAAGCTGTTGCAAATAGGCTGAGCATTTAGATTTCAAGGGGAGATGCTGCTGCTGGTGTGAGAGTGTATCAGGGTAAGAGACTAAAAAATGGAGGTTCCTTGGATCCCAGAAGGTTAGGCAGAGCAGTGCCTTGGAGAAGCAGCTTGCTCAGAGCGCTGAGTTTTATATACAGGCCTTTATATATCTCTAGAAAATGGAGTACTGCAGCAGCTAGGTGATAGAAAATCCAGCAGAAGTACTTAGCTCTTAGGCATGGCTAGTCTTCTATTTTTTTTTGTGTGGGGTGTGAGTGTATACATCCTTTTATGTTCATTTAAGTTACAGGGCAGGGGCTTTATAGTGTGCTGTTACTGCGCAGGAAGGATGTTTAACTTGACAAGTCATCTGTGCCGTGTCTTTAATGAATACTAGAAAGTACAGTTTCAGAATGTAGTGAGGCAGTGTGGTAGCAGATGCTCAGTAAAAGCCTACTCAGCCAATGTCTTCTCTAGCCAGCAGTGGGTTTCCCAAGGAGGATGGTGAGAAATAGGAAGGGAGAGAGAGAGAATTCTTAGCGCTTGGAGAGAACTCAAGTAACAAGACTGTCTGCAAAGGAAGAATCCAGAAACTGTAATGACTTTACCTCTTTGCAGGCTAATAAAGGAAAGAGCAAATATGCTGTAAATTCAGTTTTACATTGTCAAATTCCACGTGCCCAGCTTACCTGCATCAGAACCAGCCATACAGTATTAGAATGTAGTACGGAGGGGAAATACTACCATCTTGAACCCCTCACTGCTACTTTCCTTTGAATCAAAGCCACAGGGAATTATTTTTTGCTTCCTATTACCTGACACCAACTCTTGATTTCATCAGTTAACTGCTATACCTTTACTATGGTAGTTGCCCCAGTGAAATTTCCGAAGTGGTAGGATATGACGTGGTTGAATATGAAAGTGAAAATTTTGCAGCTTTCTGACAATGGGACTGCTTACAGATAATAGCAAACATGAAAGTTGCTCAAGGCTGTGCATGTTCAAGAGCTGTAAGAGGGTATGTGGGCAAATGTTAATAGATTTTTTGTTCTGTGGTCCAGTCTGTAGCAAATCTGCTAACTTGTTTATGATATCTGGCAATTAAACCTTTGCCTCACTTCTCCCTCGTCTATCATGATATGCAAGGTATGCTGTTGGGAACATGAGGCAGTGCTAAAGCAGGTTCCACCTAATTTATGTCAGTGGTTGATTTTTTCTAATGAGGATCAGTTTTCAGGTCTGTTAGCACAAGGGAATTAGATTGACTGTGTCAATCTGGCCATGCAGTCTTTAGGCTGTGTTTGAGGACTGCTAGTGCTCCCACAGAGCTTTTTCGATATTAAAAAAATCTCTGATTTCCTCTTTCTCTCTTTTTCTTCTTCTCCCTTTCTTCTCTGTCAGAAATGAACTGTTTGTCTGTAGCAGGCACTCAGGAAAAGCAGCTTTAAAATTACTGCTTTTAGAGAAATGCATGCCATTAGCACATTCCTGAATTGCGTAGCTGAATGTCTTTAGACAGACATTTCTGTACAAAAATATCTAGAAATCATATTGCATAATTGAACTAAGGTTTTGGGTTGTTGCCTGTGCTCCCGTCTGGCTTTCATGTTTTCTTTTTACACATTTAAGGTGTATTTTATTTTCATCTACTATTCGCTTTGACTGCTTCATGTTTACAAGGTGAGTCAGGATCAGATGTTCAGTCCTATTAGACCCAAAGTTTGTCTCTAACTGGAGCTGAACATTGCTGGGGAAGTTCCTAATTCTCCCGTTATGAAGATCTATGTGGTGGCCTTTGTATAATGGTAGGCAGAGAACATTGATTTCCCCCGGACATACTCCATAGATCATTCCAGGAAATGCAGATATGTTTGCCCAGTGTGGGTAGGGCTGGGTAACAAGGGCTGGATCATCTGAAATACCTTCTCTCAAACCTGCTGTTACACAAGAAGAAAATCAAGACCTGAAACATGGCTAGAAGCAACATTTCTTCCCCAGTGTAGTGTTGTGAACTATAGAACTGATGCTTCTAAGTCAGTGCTAGATTGTGACAAAACAGCTGCCACAATCACATTATGTTTGATTTCAGAAATTGTAAACAAGTTTTAGACAAAGGTAGCTGTAGCTTGGTGCTTATTACAGACATTGTAAGGAGTGGTGTGTGACTGAGCAATGGATGATCACACCATAGTTTGATAGACTCAGTGAGGTGAGCTGGTGTTGCTGTAAAAAGTCATTGCTCTTGTTTCTGTTTTCACTTTTCCTCTCTCTCACACCAGCACAAGTGTCATTGCAGCCATGAAGTGATGTGGATCCAGGTACTGATGTGATTATGAGCTAATTTGGGGCAGGGGGATAGTTGAGCTTTGCTTCTTGTCAGCTTCCCAGCTGAGTTCACTGCATGCCTGCAAGGATTAACCCAATGACAAAGGCATGAATGGGAAAAGTAGTGAGATCAGCAACAGGGCAGGAGGATGGCACCTTTCAGTGGTTCTGCCAGCTAACCCTGCAAAAAGGTTGGTAAAACTATGACCCCAGTAATGGAGAGAGAGATAAACCATCAACTTAACCAGCTGATTTTTGTTGCACTATCAGTTTTATCCGGAGAAGAAAGGAATATTGTTCTGCAGCTGGCAGGTCCCATTGCTCTCCAGCTATACATCTCAGCACTCCTAGAGGTCACTGTTGGGCTCATAAAGAGTTGTTTTGTGCTATTAAGCTGAAGATGTACTTTGGTCTGCTCTAAGCTTTTCTTTTATAGATAGTAAATGTTTTAAGAGTGCCAAAGTTTACATTCCTAAAAACAAGAGGAATTACCTTCCTATATAAGCAAAGGCAACTTTGTTAGACTCCATGTTCATAGTGTGGGTTAGTGTTTTTAAAATAAAACAGTGTGAGTTGCAGATGTAAGCTGATCATACACAAAGCGTACTGATTAGAATGGTTCTGTGCCATAGCAAACTTACCATTTGTAAGATGAACGCAAACAGAAAAATGGTGAAGCCCTGAGCATTTTACTTTCTCACAGGGAGGCTGGTAGGGTCTGTGGCCTAAGTTGAGCAGATTTTGAACCTGCAATGGCTGTTTAAGATGATGGTGGCCCTCAGTCTTACAGTGGACAATAACTCCCTATCTAGCATTTCTCTCAGGACCCAAGATGCTGCCTTATCACCAAAATATTTATATATAAAAATGCTTGCCTATATAAACATAATGTAGACTTTCTAACCTGCTTATTTTTTTTTGAAATATGTCTGTGAACATATGAATGCCCGTGGTTCAAATATTGATCTGAATACGGCAGTCTGACGCCTGCTTTGTGCATTCAGGGGTGAATTTAAGAGACTATTCAAGATGATCCTGTTTTGTTTTGTTTTCCGGGAACTGCTTTCCGACTTCAGCAGCACTGTCTTAAATAGCTTTTTACTTTTTGTTATTATTAAGCTTTCTCCATCTCCATGTTACACACATCCCCGATGAATGAAGAAAAAAGTACTGTTTGAATAGCATCTGCTTTCATTTTGACTTTTGTAAAGCTTTCAGGCTGCAGATTCATTGACTTTCAGGTGTGGTCTGTGGGCAGATTTTGTACAAGTTTACCCCTAAGGTAACAACAGTAACATTGAAGAATGCTTTTCAGATAGTCAGACTGTGACCCTAATGGAGTGAAGAGTGTGTATTGATACTTTTTAACAGTTACTTTAAAACACTCCTTGGGAAATACACACAAACGCAGCCTTGCAGGTAGAATCCTGCTCATTTCCACCAACCATCATAATACTAAGGTATTGTAAAGGATCTCTATATAACTAAGTATGACTGTCCCAGTGGATCAGCATTCAGGTTTCAGTTTTCATAAGAGTGGTGAAATGTATTTTTTTAATGCTTATTTCTTTATCTTTTTTGTTTTCTTTTTGTGGGAACATTTTAGTTAAGTTTTGTAATGACCTCCCTTTTGCTTTCCAATACTGAAGATGCAT